GCTTTTTCTTTTTTATTAAGAAAATCCATTATTTTTAATCTTTTTTTTATATGTCGATGAGGTCATTGTATTTGTATTTTCTACTGTTATGTTTCGGTAAGTTTGTGTGTGTTTAAATGGGTTCTTATGGAGTTTATGGTCGAATAGGTGTAACGTAAGTCGTCTGAATAAGAATGTAGTACTGTGATCAATGTAATTATTTATGAGTTCGGTTTGATCAGGAACAAAATTTCTTAAGTGTATTTGAACTCGTAAATAATGCTCGTTCTTTATATTTTTGATTTTGCAGGTGTGTTGTTATTTTTAAGGATAAGTTTAGCTGTTTTAAATTTTTTGTCGTAGATAATTTAATTTTTTGTTCAGGTCAACTGGGTAGTGCATTTCTTTATGATATTTCTAAGTGAAGATTCATCTTGTTTATAATTGACGTGCATTTGGCTTTTGTAGAAAATTTTTATGTTATTTTTGTCTGTGTATTCAGTATCGTTATTATTTACTTTGGAAAGAAATAGTCTAACCTGGTGGTCGATGAGGTGGTTAGGAAAACCATTGTTAACTAGTGTCTGCTTTGCATTCTTTAAGGAAAAGTAGACGTGGGGATGAATTCTCGTGTGATCTCTTTAGGAAGATTTTTTTATCACTGCTATTTTGTATCCGAGTGGAAATTCACTGTTAAAATTAAAGTGGTAAGAGTTTCTGCTAGTGGTTTTTATACAATGAGGTGGTAAAAGTGTTGTTACTGTATTCTACGAGAACGCCTAAGAACAGGAGTTTATTTTTTACTAAGTTTGTAGGTAAAGGACAGATTTTTTTCAAATGTAGTTTTGAGAGTATCTATTTTTTTTGCTGCCTGCTCGTCAACAACCTATTGTAAATCATTGGAATAATATTATATATATATATATATATATATATATATATATATATATATATATATATATATATATATATATATGCGGGTTATAACATAAAGTTAATGGTGACGCCTTGTCTTGTAACATAAATGAAAAACAGACAAACACATGTCGAATATTTCGTGTATCAATGATTAAAAATGACTTCTATGGCGTTACTAGCGGTTAAAATCTCTAAAAGCTTTTTCAGGAAAACTGACTTCTCACGTTCACTAAATCTTTATGGCTTTTTCTAATATTGATGGGAATTTCCGTCCAAGCCTCTTGGTTTTGGTAGTGTGGAAAGTTAACATCTTGATTATATCATTATTTTCTCTTCGTCTTGCATCTGCTACCCATTTTTGCTGTTGTTGGAAGTGTATTCAAATGACATGGTTTTTGTTATTTGCTAAAGATCTTTGTGATTTTGTAGCACCAGTCCATAGGGTTTGATGAAAGATGGTCTTTTGGCGGACTTAAAAATTCATTCGGTTGAAGTCATTTTTAATCATTGATACACGAAATATTCGACATGTGTTTGTCTGTTTTCATTTATGTTACAAGACAAGGCGTCACCAGGGTAAAGTCAGAGGAGAGGTCAGCTGCCGAGTTCTGGCCATCCAGATTTTTGGAGATGCTTGGGGAATACCAGTATTGATCTCATGAACTTCCGATGACTGGACATTAACAACGACCTTCATGGACCTATCTGTTAGGAAGGACTTGTTAATCGAGAAAACTCCTTCAGTGATTCCATAATTGCAGAGTTTGTGATGCAACTCCCGATGCCACCTTGTCAAAAGCCTTTTATATATCTAAGACGATCGTCCTCATGATGAATGTATCGTCTAGTGCCTCACTGATTCTGTGAGAAATGACAGGACATCAGCACTGAACCTAGCGAAAGAAAATCCATACTGTTTATCGCTCAATAAGGTTTTCTTGTTGAAATGTTTAATACTTCTTGTTCATTATAGACTTGAAAAGTTTGGTGATGACACAAAGGAAGCTAATGGGTCGATACTGTGATGGGGTGACCGCATTCTTAAAAACAAGGCACAATGACACCTTTCATAGGCTTGGGAATCATCTCCCCCTCGGACAGCGGTTAAACAGTATTGCCAAGATTAGAGATAAATCTGGGCTGATGTTCTTAAGAAGAAACACTGGGATTTTATCCAGACCGATCGCCTTCTTAAATCAATGAAAAATAAGTCATAACAAGAGAGAGCTATGGTAGAAAAGTTTATTCTCCCATCTACATTTCCTCCATTATAGGCATTATTATATCCGTGAATAGCAGAAAGAAAACAGAATGGCAAATATGCTTTGTCCTCAGAGAAACTTTTATACCACTAAGACAGACACAAAACTATATATACATATATACACGTGTCCCACGCTGAGAATAATATATCAAACGAGCCGGATTCATTTACTATATCCCATAGGAGGATATATTCCACGAAGGGGAAAGGGCGAGTCTTGAGTTTTCCCAAATTGAGGACTGCGAGTCGGAGTTTCTTTCGGTACCATAAACATGTAAGCTGCCGGGGAGGCAAGCTAAAAAAAATGTAACTGCTCGCTTTGGATGTTGTAAACAAATGAAATCGACTGCTACTTTCGTCACTGTATGTAGTGACATCATTAAGCGGTCGTCACGTGATCCATGTGACTTATCTCCCCCAAAGGGAGATAATCGCCTTTTGTATCCCTACTAGGCTCTGTATGTGTGTGTGTGTGTGTGTGTGTGTGTGTGTGTGTGTGAGAGAGAGTGAGTGAGAGAAAGAGAGAGAGGTGGGGAGAGTGTGTTTGTGTGTAGAACAGGGAGAAATCTGAGAGAAAAGTAATTGAAAGTGAAGTGAACGTGCGTTTCCCAGTGGCGCCGGAGGGCACGTTTTTACCATGTGCGACTACATCTTAATAGCCGGAGTTGTAAGGGAAGGAAAGAGGATAGGTGATAATATAATTTCCTATTTATAGGCTTAAGGAGCGTTCCCTAGCGGCAGTTTTTTTTTTAGTAAAGTAAGTGGGGTAACCCACAAGTTACGTATAAAAACATCGCTTGGCACAGGAAAACCCATCAACCCATGCCAAAATCGTACCGATCACAACGCGAGGCTGCATCAGCTAATAGGGCGGTATCAAAATCCGACTAGAAGAGGGCTATCCGACTTTGCGGGTCATTGGAATCCAAGTACGCGACTGTAAAATACTATTTTTATCATCAAGGATTCGCAACTACTGGTTAAAATTTACCTTGCTTTGATCCAAATAGTAAGATCAATACAAATACAATCCTCACAGCATTGGGATAAATCAGAAAGAACCTATAATGATTTAAGATTCTTAACTCACAAGTAATTCGATACTCAAATTGAGACACTCTTCATCCATATCAGGCCTTTATCATCATATGATATTTCGTTAATTTTACTATATTCTCTGTCTTAAATCTTCTGCCGTCACAATATGGATTATTTAAAAACAACAACGATAAAAACAAAAGCGTTAGGAGATTGGGTAAGTTAGACGTCAAGACACGTCAAACGCTATTCATCATCATCAGACCTCTTTCGACTTGAAGGTATACTATGAATCAGAGTAATTTCTCATCTTCAGTAACCATGTAAATATCTCTTATCAGTCCTTTCCAAACCTCCCCTCTTCTGTGCTAACTCACGAAAGTGTTGCAGCTCTTCCAAGCTATTCAGAACTTTTCCGGAGAATGATGGAATTTTATTGATTTTGGTTTCTTGGAGACAATATATATCAATATTATAAATATTAACGTCCCGAACCAATAATTCCTGCTTTTCTTTCTTTCTTTCTTTCTTTCTTTCTTTCTTTCTTTCTTTCTTTCTTTTCACGTGTCCTCTAACATTAAATGTCCCGATTGCGAAATCTTTATATGCAATTAGAGGCATTTACAAAATTTTAAACAAGAAATTGACAACTTTTAACTGTCGACGACGGAAGAAGTCATTATCTTTCAGAAAATCAAACGTCAGAAATTTAAAAATTTAGCGCTCCATCTTTAGCGTTTCGGCGAATGATGTTAGCCGACGTTTCTGTTTATATCTCCACCTCTCCTTATATATATATATATATATATATATATATATATATATATTAGCTCTGTTCTTCACATTGAGCTCTCAGGATTTCATCCTCCTTGGATTTACCAATTCGGTTTACCAAGTTCTTTATAACTTTATATATATATATATATATATATATATATATATATATATATGTATACACGTTTCATTAAATAATATAGACAAGTGTTGTCTATTTATTTTATGTAAAATTTTTTCGTATCTTCTGATAAGTTTGATAACAGTATCATTAACCGAAAAAAGAAATTCACAATATTTATCCATTATTTTTGATATAATCTAAGCTTTTCGGCTTACTCAAGCCATTATCAAAGATGTAAATACAAACATATCAAACAATATACGGACACGACAGTGATGATAGTCTGTCATTGTTTAGTTTACATAGTGGATCACTAAGCAACGATGAACACGCGCATATAAGACGCTAGAAGCGAAAATCGCACCGCATCTCATGACGTCACACATGACTACACGAGAGTGAATTGGAGAATGAAATAAGGAAAGCCGTTGGTATAAACCAATGGCTTCTGTTACCAATTATAGAAATTATAGACATTTAAGAATATTTGTAGAGATTCCATAGTTGATTTTGTTTAGGTTGGGTTTTAACTGTTTGATGTATAATGCTTCAAGTATTTTTAGTTTTTGTCTATTGTTTTCATGTCGAAGTATAGTTGTGTTTTCGACAAGTATTTTACGGAATTGTGTGTGCGGGCAGGCATGTTGTTTTAAATGCCTAAAAATGTTAGAGTTTTCATATATATATAATTCCATTAATAAGTCCATTATTTCAATCTGATGAAGTCCTTAAGGACGAGACTCATTTCCACCTTGTCGTTTATTTAATATTATTATCCTGTTAGCCCTCTTTTTCTCTGTGACATGATTTTTCAACACTTTCTGGAGAACGGGTGTCCGTTACTATAACAAATCACCACTTCTTGAAATCTTTTCTAATTCAATTAACTTCATTTACTTTTCTGCCGCTTCCCATACGATCACAGAAGTTAAGCAATCTCGGGCCTGGTATTAACTAGATGGGTGGCCGCTTGAGAATACCAGGTGCTGTAAGTTTTGGTGTGTGGGTTGTGTAATGGGTAATGGCTCGAAATTGTTAATTGGAGAGCCGAATACCAATCCCAGTTGGCTTCGTTATATTGACTTACGTGCAAATAACATTGGGAAATATATAAATCCACGTCTTCTCCCTCATCTACAGGTTAATTAGTAAAATTTGTATCACTAAATCATCATTATCTCCAAAAGGAAAAATTCTCAGAATCTAAAAATATTTTCTGGCTTTAAATAGCCTACAAAGAAATCATTTACTTTTGGATTCGATATCTGCAGTTAAAAAGATTTTTTAAAAGTTGCTGTAATGGCCCGTGTGTTTATTTATTTATCAATTTGTCTTAAGAGAAGGAAAACTGTGAATTTAGACCTCCGCTGCTTTGCGGTCATACCCAATCATGGGAAAGGCTTTGGGAGTAAATCCCGAAGACAAATCTGGAGCCGGAGTCTCTAAGACAGTCTGATGTTATGTTTAATTTCGTTATGGCAGATACTGCGAAGACGCCGGTGAAAAGCTGTATTGAACTCTACCTTTCCTTTGAACAACATTAGTGGCGTGGACAGGGAAAACTTGCTGCATGGGAAACCGCCGATCTCTCATAAGACCCTACCCAGGCATGTGCCCTAGAGAGGACTCTCCAGCATCGCTTCACCGCGACGGCAAAACACGGGAAGCAACAGTCTACAGATAGGAGGATTCTGAAGGCCCTTCTGTATGGGAACTGACCACTAGCAAGAGGCCACGAGGGCGACCTCATCTTTGCTTCAATGGCGCCTGCAAAAGTGACATGGGGCGATAGATATGGACATCGAGTGTTGGGAAGACGTTGCCAACAATCGATCACCCTGGAGACCCGATTTGCATCGAGAGCTGGAGCGAGGAGGGAAGAAACGGGGGCTTACCACGAGGGTGAAGCGCGCTCGAAAGAAAAAAAACAACATGGTGACATCGGGGGAAACCGTCTTCATATGCATTGGTTGCAATCGAGACTGTCACTCCTGTGTCGGTCTGTACACCCATAACAACTGTTGCGTTGCCATCAGCAGCTGAGGCAGAATTTTTGGGCGTAGATTCATGATCTCTCGAAATCGACGGAATGTGATGGCCAGGACCAGAATGGTCAGCAATTGACTGGAGTGCCTCGTGGGCATGGTATTCTGAAATGGATTGCCTTTGTCTGGGTTTTGGATATAAGTCCAAAACGGCTCGAATTCAACAGAGAGCCGCAGAAATATAAAGCGTCGATACGCCTCTCACATCCAGGTTAGCGATCGGTTAAGACCACCCGCGGAGGGACGTTGAGCCAACGTGCGACATGCCTTAGTGTAACATCATTCCTCCCGCTGCCTCTTAGAATCCAAGCTGCTACCACTCTCTCCTAATAAAACGAATAAGAAAAAGAAATCGTCTTTTTCCTTGATACCATTTTAGAGACGACACAGAATACAACAATAATCGAAGTAGAAAAATCTATTTGTGATATGATTTATCAATGAAACTGCTAGTTTAACACTAAATTAAAATTAAATCATAACAGAACCATATTCAAATATAAAACTCGATTTCTTTACGGTTTTTATGGTTCTCTCCGTTGACCAACTAGTATCACAATTACATCGAATCAGGTTTTCTTGGTTTGCTGTCCTAATATTTGCAAAAAGATAATCATTTTTTTACGATGTAAATTTACTTTTTTAAAAATATCGCTAATTGCTACAGATATTTCTCCAGGGACGACAACTCTAATCCTTTTTAGTCAAACTTACACAGAGACCGCACAAAGCCGTAAATAGCAAGAACATAAAAAGCTGCAAAAAAAAAAAATTGTATTTTTTTCTCTTGTTCTTTCTTCTAGGATTGCTGTGAGCATCGTGTACTTCGGCTTAGCTCTGAATAGCGGCGATCTAGGGGGTTCCGTCTTCGTTAACTTTTTTGTCGGCGCCCTCGTTGAATTCCCCGCTTATACATTGTGCATTTTTCTACTAGACCGCATGGGAAGAAAGAAATTACACGCCGCGGTGATGACCATTGGAGGACTCTCGTGCCTTGCAACTATAGTTCCAATCCTCATGAGTAATTCTGAGACAGGTAAAATAAACATTTTTGAAATCAGAGAAAAGTGTGTACTTATCCAGGAAATTTAAAGGTAATAGTGGAAAATTTTAAGAAATCAATATTTGATTAGCAAAGTTGGATTAATCTTGTAAATATGAGAGTTATCTCTTCTTTTTCTCACAGAAACCAAAGATCGTCTCTCTGTCTTTTCCGCCTTCCCACACAATCAAAATGGAATTGTTCATTATTTATGAGATAGTAACGTACGTGCTAACAAGCAGAATTATGTGATATTGGTTCCTCATTAAAATTATTTAGTAATATACTTGAAGCGGATTATACAATTTAATATTCTATTCTTGAATTGCAAAATTGTGCAATGCATTGTATGATAACTTCTATAATAATAACTTTGTCTATAAGAATCTGTAGTTTTATTATTGATTTTTCAGCATACCGATGGGTGATCTTGATTTTGGCAATGATAGGAAAATTAGGTATCACGTCAGCATTTGGAGTTGTTTACCTTTACAGTTGCGAACTTTTCCCGACTGTTCTTCGAAACAGTGCGATGGGAATGTTTTCTACGTGCGGAAGAATTGGAGCAGTTCTTGCCCCTTACATCGCCGATTTGGTAAATATTTTTCTTTTCATTTCTTCTTTGCATTGGTCTTGCAAGCATATCAGATTAATGTGCGTATTTTCTGGTAGTTGTGTGCGGGTTGTATGCAATAATGGCATCCCAAATTTCCAGGAGCCGGTTTTATAAGGGCAGGTAATCCTTAGAAACCTATTTTGCTTATTTTCTTTTTAATCTGAGAATGGCAACAAATCACTTAGTATCAAAAGGAATTAAACCATTTTGATAATTTAAAAGAAAACATTTATTTATTAAGATATTTCCAGATTGAAATTCTGTTCCCATCAGATTTCTGTTCAGAATTATGAAGTAATGGATTCAATATAGTCTTTCTACTTCATGTCAGTTAGAATGTTAACCCAAGAAGGCACACTTTTCAGTCTTGTGGGTGACAAATTATTTTCTACTCTACAACTCCTTTCTCCCAGACGAAATGTTGCTAGCCTGTCACAACTCTGTCGTTATTTTCATGGCAGATATTCAGACGAGCTATATTCCTTAGTTCAACCAGCCACAACCTTTACAACTAGGACTTGCCATGCCTCATACATGAGGAAAAATCACCTTCATTCCCTTCGTATTTCATTGTTATGGAGGCAGTTTCTTCCCCAGAAATGTTATATTGTGGAATAGACTCCCAAAAGGAAGTTTCTTCAACTACTTCATTCATAACTTCAAGTCTCAAGTCAATCTATCCTACATATCCCATAATATGCACCTTTTGCTACCTCCTTGTATACACTTGCAACAATCTCATTCAGTGAGTAGCTCTTGAGCCTTGTATTGGGTGAACAATAGTATAAAAATATTAAGAAACAGGAAAATATCATTAGAAACAAAAAAAATGCTAATATCAATCCTCCTATATGGCAGTGAATGTTGGAAAATTTCCTCACAGATGAAAAGGAGACTTGAGGCAGCAGATGACAGGTTATGTAGGAGAATGTTGAGAATACCATGAATGGAGTGTACAAGCAACAAGGAAGTTTTAAAGAGAAGGAAACAAAAAAAAAAGAGACACCTGAAATTTCTTGGATATGTAATGAGGAAAGAAGTGTTAGAAAATTTGACACTCACCAGAACTACTGAAGGCAAGAGAGATGAAGAGAAACAATGAGTAACCCAGTTAATGAACTTATGCAGATAGATAGCAGTAAGGTGACAAACACTGCTTAGAGCTACAGATGATAGGAAGCTGTGGAGAACCATCATCATCTATAACCTGAAGGGACATAACATATAGAAGATACACGTCTGTGACGTCCTAGGTATGATGATAAACTACATCCAGCAACAAGGCCTCTGATCAGGAGGTTTTGAGGAGTGTGGAACCATCTCTTAATTACTGTTGTTCCCAGGTGGTAGCACCTGTTAGGGTCCTCAGCTATGAACAAATAGTTAACCCCCAAACTGGAATCAAAACACTATGAAAGTATAAAAATACATTTTCATAGCAAAAATATAAGCAATATATTTTCATAGTCAAAAAATTACCATCAATACAATTTTGTAAAGAAAATTACTCATGCTCCCATGAAAATTAAATTTTGACATTAAATGACATATAAGGAGTTGATATGCCATCAAACAAATGTACATGTGTGTGTGTGTGTACATTTGTACATATTTTTATCATACCTTGCATATACAGAAATAGATATCAAGATATGGCATTAATGCTTAATTTATTATTATTTAACAATACAATTCCTTTTTTTTCTATGTGGAAATCTAGGAAAAGATTGCAATTCTAGTAAAAATAAAATAGTTTTCTTGATGAAGAATACCTTCTTCTTTACAGGGAGATTTCATTGGTGGTAAAGAAGGTCGAGCCCTACCCATGGTATTGTTTGGAGTAACAGCTATTGTGGCTGGTGGGTTGGCACAAATCTTGCCTGAAACCAAAGGACGTAAACTGCCAGATACGATCAAAGATGCTGAAAAGATGAGCAGGTGCAATAAATGTTTCATCATTAATTCAATCAAGAATCTTTATTCAATACTATAAACAATTTAAAAAAAAGTTCTGCATTAACAAAAATAAATGTTTATATGCCTTTACATTTTGACCTTTATACCTTCTGAGCATTTCAGGCATCTGTCATTTTACTTCATAACATTCTTGGAATTTTGAAACAAACTCTTTATTCCATCCATGACAATAGATAGTTCTCATTCTGTTTTTAAAAGATATCTTATGTCAGTTAATACCTATCAGTCTATTTTACCTCTTGTCTGGCTTGTTTGTTTCTTCCGTGACTTGAGCACTGCATGACCCAGAGATTGAACTCCTAATTACCAAGT